ATTTTAATTAATTATTGACACATTTAATTAATTATTTAATGGTGTATTTAATTAATTCATTATGGCAGTCCTGGCGTTCCATTTTAACCCACCATAAAAATTTTGATGTAACCTTATGTGTATTCCTCAGCTTTTTAAACTTCTGCCACGTTTATTATGAGCATCCCCTAGTGTAATAAGAAAAAGCATTATAGGTTTTGAGATCACCAAAATCACATTGATATATTATTACAAGTAAGTAAATCCGGTTTACCTGTGAGTGTGTGTCAGTTCTTCAAAGTACAAATGGTGCGTTGCAGACCAACTTTCTTATTTGAGACCTGGTTCTTGCAAAAAATTTAAATCTTAAAGTTAGATGTAAAGGAAGTTTTTGGATGTGAGATCCGTGAGCTCATCTTTGGGAAATCTTCTAAAAATCTGATTGCTTTTACCACTTAAAGAATATGAAATGACCCAGTTGACTAAAAGGCCTGAAAGACAATGGGAAATTATAGTGGAGTTATAGCTGTTGTATAATATAGCTGTTTAATTAACAAGAAATAATGCTAATTGATCAATGTGTCAGATATCCTAAAATAGTTTTACAGCTAGTTTTGAATACTTGAGACTTCAATGACAACAGGAACCGCTGACCTTGTAAAAGTTAAACTGAACTGTGATTATTACACACAGGCCAAGTCAAGATCACACCATCAAGCCATCATCTTCCTGGGTGATTGATAAACCCAAAGAAGTGCCATGGGCTAAGAATAAGAGAACGATGTCCCGGGGCCCATCTGAGGACACTTCAGACACTGCCATCAATCAGGTAAAACATATGGATTCATGTTCAACATGAGCTGTGAAAGTATTTCAATGTTTACACTATATTCCAAAGATCGTGGCAGAAATAAGCTTCTTTTGGATGCTGGCTGTCCTCTTAAAGACAGGCTGAGGAGCTTGATCAGGAGTAGAGCCACTTTTTCTCCACATTGAAAGGAACCAATTTGTCGTGGGTCAGACATCTGACTAGAACTCAACTGACTAGTTGAGCAATTTTAGGAAAGCCCTAGGCAGTCTACTGGGCAGACGCAGGACTTGCTCGAGTTATGTCTCTCAGCTAGCTTGGGCACAACTCAGTATCCCCCCAAGATGAGGTGGCCGTGGTAAGGGAAGTGTGGGCTTCTCTGCTCAGACCCAAACCCAGATAAACAGTAGAAAAAGCATGGCCATATAGAATAATGTTTGCTATAAAATGATTATATCAATTTGATTAAATATGGTAATTCATGTCAAAGCAAGACTTCACATAGTATCCTTACTATTTGACTATTTTCATTAATACTACAGCTGTGCTCATGTCATATTCACTAGGTTCTGCTCTTCTTACTTTAACACAGAGTAAGAAGAACTTATAATCTTGTAATCCGTGTACAGATGATTGTTTTCATTCACAAATAATTCACTTTTGCTTTACTCTCAGTGAGAACAGCATAGTGGTTAGAATTATATTACAAATAATACAAGTCTAGCCTATCTTTAAACCATTGTGTCATGGTGTCTGTTATCTCAATACTGAATTAAAGGAGCAGTGTGCAATCTCAAGACAACAATTGTTGTTTGTTGTTGATTGTTGTTAATGACACAGTGGGTATAATTAAGCTACAGAGTAGTAGCGGGTAGAGTCTGTGTTCTGCTAGTAACATCAATTGTTGATGTCAGTGATTAGTGGACTCTGTTGCTAAGAGACCATTAGCTAATTGTGGTGTTATAGAGATACGGCGGGTCCAGAGAGTTCCAGTAGTCTTCTCAAATTGAGTCCAAATTGCTTAATGCACCTCCAAATGTCATCATTGCACGCTGATCAGGCAGGGTTTTGTTTGTATTTGTATGCTCAGGAGTCGGTAGAGATGAAGAAGATGGAGACCAGTGTGAGCAGTAGAATTCCATTCACTGGCTCCGGTCTGGAAAACCAGGGCCGAGCTGCTTCGATGCCTAGACTCAATACTGAGCTGCAGGTAACAGCTCATCTTCACCAAACTTACTTACTTACCAAATTTACTTATTGATTTCATTCCTTATCGATTCTCTTATTGATGCTTCTATTGATTTTCATTTGGTTGGAGGTATTTCCTCTCGTTTTTGTGATCAGTGTTGGGGTCGTTACTCAAGTATTTTATTACACAGAAAACCTTTTTTTAAAGTAATGCAGTACATTACATTAGCGTTTCGCCAGTCTCTTATAATTACTATTTAACAATATAAAGCTATAGGTGTTGTTAATATAAACCTATACCAACACAAATCGGTGTCCTAATGTGTACACACAAATAGATTCTCCCTCTTAGTATCTAGGTATTGACCACAAAGGCAACGGCAACAGGTTGTTGCCATGGTGGGTCACTGCAAAAAAAACAAAATAGTATTATTTTACTATTTCGATTTCATTGTGGATTCAGTGTTTGAGTTAAGAGTGCACATACAGTGATCTGATTGATCAGATTTGTTTATTTGGATTTCAGATTTGTCTAATTTCCAAAAAATTACAAAAATCGATCTTGGTTCAAAGCAAAAAGAAAATAAATGCCGCATGTTAGTACAGTCAAATTATTCGATGGGTGTGAATGGCTGCATTAAGAATACGTGAGTCTAAAAAATATGTTTAATGGACAAGGTGTGGCATATCTGTGATTAATTGATTTTTTTTCCCATCTATAGGCCACACGGGTACACAGCCCATCAATGGGGGCCATAATTCTGGCTGGGTTGTAGTGGATTGAATACTCCTTTCACTAAATGACATGCAAATCAATTTATAACTTTTACGTGATTTGTTTTTTCTGGAATTTTGGTTGATATCCTGTCTTAATCAGATCTCAGTTTCGCTCAGAAGTAACATTACTGTTATTTTTCTTAAAAGTAATGCAGAACGTGACTTTCCGAGTTAAGTAATAGATTAGAGTATTTATTACATTACTTTCACATTATATCTGTCTACTTTCTCAGTCATCCAGGTCATGGTAGTATTGAGAGCTTGAAAAAAGACGGCAGTTAGACTTCTTCAGGTTTGTGAAAATGTTTTACATCTTATCCAAGAGACTTTGTTCTAATGACAAATGGTGGAGAGTCCCCCCTCTGGGGCTTGTCTCCTTTGGATGTGAACCTCAGGGTTGTTGACAAACTATTAATTATATGAGTCATCACCTGAGCCCAGCTGTGAATAAATGTTTGCTGCATGACCATAGCCAGGCTTAAGGGTGAAACCCACCCCATAATGTGATCATAATGTGGTCTCCAGTCGCATGATAGCTGAGTCCAGGTAAATAATTTTCCAGCACGTGTACGTTACACATGCTATTTTTAAAAAAAAAAAAATATGATTATTACTTTGCTAGCTATCAAACTCGCTGAAGAAATGATTGAAATGAACTGAGTGTGATGCAATACGGCAGCGCTATTATTTTTTGGAGTAAACTCTAGCTTTATGAAACCAGCTTGGTTTTTACAATACTGCGTCAGAACACTTTAACTTCTTTTATTCAATTTTAAGGGCTGAAACTTGTATTGAACTTTTCTGCTCTAACTTTTTTTTTTCATTCTTTTATTTTTCAATACCAAACTGTCATAAAACACACAGGTACATATAGAAGTAATAATCTTTTTCTTTTTCTTTTTTATAGCATACAAAAAAACCCATAAATGAGATGAGTACCTGAATACCCCCCACTCGCTCCCAATAACGTAAAAATGAATATGTTACAGAGAAAATGAATTGACCCATGCAAAAAATACAAAACCCATACAAAAAAAACCCCAAAACAAACACCAAACAAACAAACAAAAAAATCAACAATAAGATAATAGTGTGTATCCTTATAGTTTAATATTAACATTAACATCTGCTAGCCTCAAAAAACAAGGTCTTAACATTAATCAATATTGATATAAATCTTAACCAACAATAGTAACAATATTAATATTAATGGTTACTTGCTCCTTGGTCAAAACAAATTAATAATGCTGGAATATCTTTAAATAGAGTATTCTTATAAGGTAGAACAGCCACTGCCGGGAATAGCAGAAAACTTTGTACAATGTCATATGGTGGACTACAGAGAGATTTCTCGTGCTGGTAACTTTTCTAAATATTTAAGTAATGGTTTCCAGTGAGTAAAAAAATCTATCCGATGAGACTCTGATGGAGAATTTTCTCTTCTCCAATTTTAAGAGTCCTAAGATATCCTGTAGCCAGACTTTCATTAATGGTGGCTGAGATGATTTCCACAACAACAAAATTATTTTCCTAGCTATGAGAGAAGCAAAGGCAATAAGGTTATTTTGAATAGCTGCAGTATGAAGGTTAATTGGTGGTTTGCCAAATATAGCGATATGTGGAGTCGGAGTCAATTTTATACCCAATATATCCAAAGTTATTTTGAAGAATTGATGCCAAAATTCAGACAACCTAGGGCACGCCCAGAACATATGAGTAAGATTGCAAGATATCTGTGAGCATCTGTTACATTTATCATCAAATTTATCTGGGTATAATTTTGACAATTTTTCTTTACTGTAGTGTAATCTGTGGAAAACTTTAAATTGTCTGGCACAACTACAAGACAAATTAATGGCCCTTACCGCTCCCTCCCAGAACAACTCAGAAAAACTCATATGGAGTTCTGACTCCCATTTCATCTTGGTCCTGTATAAAAGAGATTCACTAGGCAGAGAAGCTAGTTTATAAAGGTAAGAAATATGACCCTTTACCAAAGTTTTGGCTCTGAGAACCAAATCTATTCCACTGGAAGCTGGGATTTGTGGGAATAAAGTTGAACATTTCTTTGCAAAGTTTCGCAACTGGAAGTACCAAAAAA